ATAGCCCCATAGCACCTCACAGTGCCCCATACAGCCCCATATAGCCCCATAGCGCCCCATACAACTCCATACAGCCCCATAGTGCTCCTTGGCACCCCATACTGCCCCATACAGCCCCATAGCATCCCACAGCACCCATAGCACCCCATAGAGCCCCATAGCACCCCATACAACCCCACAGCATAGCCCCATAGCGCCCCATACCGCCTCATAGTGCCCCATAGCACCCCATAGCACCCCATAGCGCCCCATAGTGCCCTATACAGCCCCATAGCACCAAGACTGCTGCACACCTGAGTGCCTGACCCCATAGCAAGCGCCCCATAGCGCCCCACTGTGCCCCACAGCACCCCATGGTGCTCCACAGCGCCCCCATAGCGAGCGCCCCACTGTGCTCCGAGACACCCCATAGTGCCCCATAGTGCCCCATAGCACCCTGTAGTGCCCCATAGCACCCCATAGTGCCTCACTGCACCCCATGGTGTCCCATAGCACCCCATAGAGATCCACGGTGCTCACTGTGCATCAGAGCACCCCATAGCACCCCATAGGAGACCCTATATTGCCCCACAGCACCCCATGGTGCACCATGGCGCCCCATAGCGCCCCTTAGCACCCACAGTGCCTCACTACACCCCATAGCACCCCAGGGTGCCCCATAGGGTCCCATAGAGCCCCACAGTGCCCCATAGCACCCCAAAGCACCCCATAGTGCCCCATAGCACCCTGGGGTGCCCCATAGTGCCCCGTAGCACCTGATGGCTCCCCATAGCGCCCCAGGATGCCCCATATCATCCCATAGCACCCCAGGGAGTCCCACAGTGCCCCATAGCACCCTATAGCACCCCACAGCACCTCAGGGCACCTCATAGTGCCCCATAGCACCAAATGGCACCCCATAGCACCCCCATAGCACCCCACGGTGCCCCATAGTGCCCCATAACACCTCACGGTGCCCCATAGCTCCTCAGGGCACCCCATAGCGCCCCACAGCGCCCTGTATCACCCCAGGGTGCCTCATAGGGCCCCATAGAACCCCACGGTGCCTCATAGCACCCCATGGTGCCCCACAGCACCCCATAGCACCCCACAGGACCCCAAGGTGCCCCATAGCACCCATAAGTGCCCCATAAGACCTCAGGCTACCCCATAACACCCCATAGCACCCCATAATGATATGGCGCCCCATATCATTCCACAGCACCCTATGGCACCCCATAGCACCTTAGGCCACTCTATAGCACCCCACAGTGCCCCATAGCACCCCATAGCACCCCATAAGACGTCAGGCCGCCCCATAGCGCCCCATGGCACCCCATGGAACCCCATAGCTCCCAATAAGACCTCAGGCGACCCCATATGACCCCACAGCACCCCATGGAACCCCATAGCACCCCATAAGACCTCAGGCCACCCCATAGTGCATCATGGCACCCCATAGCGCCCCATAAGACCTCAAGCCACATCATATGACCCCACAGCACCCCATGGAACCCTATAGCACCCCATAAGACCTCAGGCCACCCCATATGACCCCACAGCACCCCAAGGTGCCCAGCGGAGCCCTAAGAACACTGTGAAACATTTGGAGCCGTTTCTTTTTGGGGTGGATTTGGGGTTTTTTTATTTCTTCCGACCAAAAATGGGATTTGGGGGCGGGCGTCAGAAATGCGCCGTGACGCGATCGATCTCCAGGAGGTCCTCCAGGATCTGTGGGGTCAGAGTGTGGGGTGGGGGGGGAGATGGTTACGGGCACCATAAATCACCCCATAGCCACCCCATAATCACCCCATAGCAGCTCCATAGCCACCCCATAACAGCCCCAGAACCCATAAAAACCCCTCAGCCACCCCATAACCACCCCATAATTACCCCATAGCAGCCCCATAGCCACCCCATAACCACTTCAGAACCCGTAACAGCCCCACAGCCACCCCATAGCAGCATCATAACCCGTAACAGCCCCCACAACTACCCCATAACCACCCCATAACCGCCCCAAAACCCGTAACAGCCCCACAGCCACGCCATAACCACCCCATATCGCATAACAGCCCAAAGCCACCCCATATAACCCATATAACCCCATATAACCCCATATGACCCCACATGACCCCATACGATGTCTGGCATGGTGCCAATCTTCTTGGCCAGCCCTATAACCCCATATAACCCCCAGGACCCTGTGACCCCGTGACCCTTGACCCCGTAAGATGTCGGGCGCGGTGCCGATCTTCTTGGCCAGCCCTATAACCCCATATAACCCCATATAACCCATATAACCCCTATAACCCACATAGCCCCCCATGACCCCGTGACCCTGTGACCCTTGACCCCGTGACCCTTGACCTCGTATGATGTTGGGCGTGGTGCCGATCTTCTTGGCCAGCCCTATAAC